TTAAGTTTTTCTATGGGTGCGTTCGTTTATGCAGCGATTAGCACGTCTACTGCGTTTCTCATCTGCGAGTCACATGACACAATTTACCGAACGAGTGTCTGCGTGAATTGGATGCTCAAGATTGTAATTGGAGTGCGTGTATAAGTAAAAAAATGTCAAATAAACATGAATTATTATTTGAATAAAATATAATAAAATTTTAAAATAGGAACACAATACAGAAACACAAATCATATTTTGAAAATATTTGTCTTTTATTTAAAGAGGTTATGTATATTAATTTTGATTGTATATATTGTAAGATATTAATTTTTTTTTAATATCTTTAAGCAAATTTTATTTAAAAATTTCAATTTTCAGAAATGGCGGATGGATTTAGAATGGACAATTTAATTTTTTATAACATTATTGATCAAGCTATGGATCTCATTAATAGCTCAGATTCTGACTCATTATCAGAAGATAGTTCTGATGAAGAGCTGCTGTTATTGGATGATGTTAATATTGTTTATTTAATTTATTAATTTAATTTATTAATTTTAACATTTTAAATATATACACGCATACATTACATCCATTTTTTGTCTACATGCAGGAGCAGGAACGTATAAAAGTGCAGAAAGTAAACAATTATTTTCATACAATTTCTGTAATGCATGACAAAACATTTCAGTCACATTTTCGCCTTACGAGAGGTTCTTTCGAAGTAAGTATATATACGTTAGAAACATTGTAATTTAAAATTAAATTATAATAATATAATTTTAAAATAATAATTTAATAATAATAGTAATAATATTGATAACAATAACACACTAAATATGAATGATATATATTTTTAATATATGTTATTAATATATTTTATTAATGCAATTAATAATATATATATATATATACATTATATGTGTATATAAATATATGTAATAAATATATATAAATTATATATGTATATATTTATTATATATTATATAATTAATATATTTATAATTTAATAATAAATAATATTAATTAATTAATAATTTAATATTAATTTAATAATATTAGGTTGTCAGAAGAGCAGTTGGTCCTATTCTTGAGTCTAATAATAATAATAATAATGGAGGTCATCCTAATGTACCTTTGGAAAAAGCAATATTGTCAACTGTGTGGTTACTAGGAAATCAAGATTCTTTTCGAGAAGTTAGTAATTTATTTAATTTAAGCCCAAGTACTGTACATAAATTATTTTACGATGTATGCGGTGCTTTGTGTAATATGATAAATGAACACCTACACTGGCCAAATCAAGCAGAATTCCAAAATATAAGACGAGAGTTTAACGAGTTCAGAGGACCAAATGGTTTCCCAGACGTGATATGTGCGGTTGATGGAATGCATATAGAAATTCCAGCTCCAAAAGATGATGCTATGAGTTATTATAATCGAAAAGGATTCCATTCGATTCTTTTACAAGGAATGTGCGATGCAAAATGTAAATTTATTGACATTTTTGTTGGATGGCCCGGTGCAACTCATGATGCTCGAATGTGGAGAGAAAGTCCAATTGGTCAGGCACTTGCAGAAAATCCAACACTTATACCAGAAGGAGCTCATATTTTAGGAGATTCTGCATACACTTTAACCCCTTATTTATTAACACCATTCCGTGATAATGGGCATTTGTCTCAAAGGCAAAAGTTTTACAATAAAAAATTAAGTTCAAAGAGAATTGTCATTGAGCAAGCATTTGGAAGACTAAGATGTAGATTTAGAAGATTAAAATATTTAAATATGTCTCTCATGAACGAAATGAAAATAGTTGTTATTGCTGCTTGTGTTCTGCATAATATTTGTATCCGATGTAATGATGAAATAGATTTAAGTGACGACGAACCTGAAAATGATGAGAACCGGAATGAAGACAATGCCATTTGTGAAGCGGGTAATGATAAAAGAAATAGAATTGCTGATATTCTGTGGACAAATAGAAGATATGAATAAATTATATTTATTAATTTTATAACATTTCGTAAGTATGTAACAGGTACATTATAAGTATTGTCAATAAAGTGAAGTATTTTCAACAAAATACATTAGTATATATATTTTCAATATATGACAACATATTTAACAGTCATAAGTACGAATCTCTTAACATAAAATATAAAGATGTCTTAATATTATAAGAACATACTCAAACACCACGTCCTAAATCAGGACATAAAATGTCATTACGATAACTTTTGGACATTATATCAAAAGTCATATAAAACGTCTTTATGATTTTGAATGTGGTGTTATTTGGATAACATTTGTATAATATACAAAAAACGTTAGTATTGTATTGAAACATTTAAGAACAAAAAAATAAATTGTATCTAGATCATATTTGACTTAATGACAAAAAATGTAAATATTAAAACGTAAGACATCTGAGACCAAACAAAAAATCCAACTTTATCTAATGAGATCATACTTAACTTTGAAACATATAAGCATTAATGCGGGGTCTACAATAGCAGTCTTAAAGTCGTACGTCGTAGAAATTGATCAATCACAGTTGAAGTTCAGAAGAATAATCGATTGTAATTGGTCAATTTCTATGACGTACGACTTTAAGACTGCTGTTGTCGACCCCGCATAAAAGATATCTAAGATGTCTAAGAACAAAAAAAACGAAAACTTTATCTGTGAGATCAGGATATTGATCACGAAACTTTTCTAAAGTGAAAGAAAAGTAATAAAAAAAAAGTAACGACGCACGTAACAAATCAACATATTTAAGTTTTTAATATCAACGTCTTTGGCATGTAAAATATTATGAAAGTTTTTAAGATGTTTATGGCATTTATATTTATGTAGTGCGATTTTGTTGTAAATCTTTCAGGACAGTAACAAGATTGTTTATCGCTTCAATTTTGTCTGTTGCAATTTTTTTTTTATCTTCCCAAATTTCTTTCTTCAATTGTAACGATTGTGATTTCTTTTCCTCGACAAGTCGTAATATTTCTTCTTGAAATTGGATTTTCTCTTTCTTTAATGTCCTTCTTTTTTTTGTTGGTAAAATATTTTCTTGGATATCTACCTGAGTCTCTTCTTGATATGTGCCAGCTGAGTCATCCTTCAAGGTAAGTGTTTCTGGTTTAAAAGTTGAACCCAGGGATTCCTTCGGAGGATTTACACTCTTTTTCTCCGCAAAAACTTCATGCATTTGATGGAAATATTTCCAAGTGATGGCACTTTCGCCTGTTCGTTTCAATTTACTTACATTCCGATTGTAAGTAACTTGGAGATTTTTCCACTTGTTGACCAGATCATCTTTTGTTACTTTGTAACCTTTTTCTTCAAAAACTTGAACAATTAAATTCCAATATGGTGTCTTTCGGCTATTTGGGTTTTCAAACTTGTCATTCATACTAAGACGTTGTTCAAGTAAAAGTTGTATTTCTGCGTCTGTCCAACTCTCTTTAGTGGCATCTAAAATTGAAACAAAGAATTATTTTACTTATAAAACTCATAAATATAATACTTATGTATATCTTAGGAACTCCAAAGTAACTGCCACAATTAATTTCTTTTATTATATTTTGTGTTCAAATTTTTGTGATAATTTTTTTAATTTTTCATAAAATAGTTTGATTCAGTTTGCCAATCATTTACAATAAAAATAATATAATTTTATTTGCTTCATTATTTACCTTTTTTATCTATAAAATTTAAGTTTGGAAGTGAAGATGGAACAGTAGCAAGTGAAAGTCCAGAAGTTGTTATTGAATTCAAATCAATCAAATTGAAAGCTTGAGGATTGTTGATACCTATAAATTGTGATAGTGCAAAGGAACATAAATATATATAATAAAAAAATCATACAATAGTTATAGATTAAAGAAAATATAATATCATAAAAATCACTAATTTATACAATTCTATAGAAACAGAAATTATATTAGGAAATACTTTACCCCAATTGATGTTCTAGCTTTATCACTAATATTATAATATATATTTATTATTATATCTACATTAAAATCTAAATATTTTTATTTTATGATTATTGTACATACCTTGTATTGTTGAAGTTGTTGGTTCTGACATTACAAGCATCGGAGAAGTTGAAGGTTGTGTGCGTATAACATTTTCAGGAAGTGATGATGGCAGGATTGAAATGTTATTTAATGATTTCTCAGATCTTTCCAAATTAACTGGAGATGAAGTAGCTTTATAGCCAGGAACGACTGTAACAAAACTGTATCTGAGATAAATTCATAAAAACAAACCACAAAAAGTTACTGAATTTGTTTATACAAAACCCATTTTTTTCAACAGATTACTTTAAATTTATATTCTTTATAAATGTGCATTTTTAGGTTAATTTAATCGCAAATATGAATTAAAAGACTTCATAGTTTTGTTGCATTACCAGTATTACTTACCTTGCATTACTTTTACTTTTGTGGGATCTACTTGGAGGAGTTTTTCTCCACCTTCTTTATTCTGAACTTTTATAACATAACTCATGTTGAATTAATTTTTCAAGTAACGCTCAACCGGCTTAATGATGGATACTTTTCACATTCGTTTACGCAGTACTGCGAGCAGAGCATCCAGAGCAGGACCTCCGAGATGGCTGCGCAGATAGGCTGCAGCTATGCTTAAACGAACAACAAACTGCGCTGCAGTCGGTTGTACAGGCGGAGTAAACGAACGACATCTGCGACATTCTGCGGCAGTCACTGCATAAACGAATGCACCCTATGTGCCAAGGCTCATAGCGGTTACGACGAGCGTTATGCTTGTAT